ATATCTCACAACACCAATGGGAACAAGCCAGAAATATTACAGCTAAAACTAAACAGAACAAATATATCTTACCAAATACTTCTTCTTTAGCAACTAGCTCATCATCTATTTTATCTCAAACAGACTTTTCCTCTTTTATTAAAAAATGGTTTATACAAGGTTTTTCTTTAACTAACTGTATTTTTTAATGCCATGATATATACCTTAGGTTTCCTCTAACCTAGTCTAGCTATATAATTATTTAGAATAATTAACAATAGCATTATATAGAAAATTAGGGGGTATAATGTCGCATTGGGTGTCTTATTAGTAGCACAAGTGTAGTTCGAAATCTTTAAATGTAGATCTTTCTCTACTTTTTTAAATAAAGTTTCAACTATGGCATTTACAACAAAAAAAAAAAAAAAAAAAAAAAAAAAAAAAAGGATTTATAGAAATAAAGTTGTAGATTATATTTAGTTTAAGGTTGTTTAGAGAATTGTTTATATTATTAATTAGATTGTTAATATTAATATTGTAGTTTGATATATGAGTTAGAAAAAATAGGCTAGTGAAATTTTTCATTTTTTGTTTATGTTGTAGAATAATGTCAGGAGTAATTGTTGGTTGCCAGATTTTTTAAAGCCATTCTTTGATTCGGAGTTTAAAAATTTGTTTTAAGAGTAGCGATGAATTAATTGTTTTTTTAATAATACTGCAACTAGTATAAGAGAGCAGTTTATGAAAAGTAGGGATATTTAGAAGTTGTGAATTTGTAAGGATATCATTATTAAGAGATTTTTTAATTTGTTTGGTAATAAGGCTTAAAAGCTGAGTAATTTTTTGATTTGTAAGTAAAGTAACTTGCAATAGATATTCTAGTGATAGTGAGAGAATAGTGTTAAAAAGTCTGGAAATTTGAATAGGTAAGAGTTTTTTGTATTGTATGAGTTTAATAAAATTGCTTGTTTTGTTAAGAATTTTATTAATTGTGGGTTGGGTAGAACCTGTGCCATCAAAATAGATGCCAAGATATCTAATAGAGTCAGTTGGTTTTTTGGTTTTATAGGTTTATCATTAAAGATAATCTCTGATTGTGATTCTTGATTTTGTAATAAGGTTTAATGTGTAGAAGGTCAGATTTTGTTGGATTGACTTGGATGTTGTTGAATTTGTAAGGTTGTTCAACATCTTTAAGTAGTTGTTGTAGGTCATCTTTGTTTTCACAGTACCATACGGTATCATCTATATATGCTAGTGGAGGAATAGTAATTTGTGAGGGGTGTATATTTTGAATTTGTTTAGTAGAAGATAATACTTGAATTTTAAAAAATGAGTTTTGGTATTTGTTATTTATATATGTTAAAATAGGATCATAGTAGATTTTTCAGAGAAGAGGAGAGTATGTTTCTCCTTATTCAATGCCAGAAAAAAGTGTGATAGGATCTGTTAAACCATATGCTGTTATAACCTTGCTTTTCGATCTTGGTGTAAATTTGTTATAAAGTTTATGACTTGTTGAGGCATAACTATTCTTTATATGCTTGTGCAAGATGTTGTATATTGATTTTATCGAAAGCTTTAGACATGTCTTAGAAAAGTATCCAAGCCTCTTTGTTGTTGTGTTTATAGTTTTCAATTATATTATGTAAGATCTGAATTGGTGTATATGTAGAAACGTTAGGTGTTGTGACAAAGTTAAGATTACTAAGAAGATTGTTTTGGTTAATTATTTGGTTGAGTCTTTGTGTTAAAATTTTGGTTAAACATTTTTTTAAGGATTCTATAAGTGAGATTGGGCGGACTTGATCTAAGGTATAGTCCCAGGTTGATTTTTTTGAAATGAGAAATATGTTAGATATTTTTCAATCTGTAGGTATTAGTTGTAGTTGTAGGCATTTGGATAGGAGGAGTCTGAGTATTCTTTGACTTTGCTATGAGATAAGTTTAATGTGTTCGTAGTTGGTATCAGAAGGACCTGAAGCTTTTTGATTAGGTAGTTGATTTATAGTTTTGATCTATTCATTATCAGAAATTTCTGTAAGGAGGTTGCTATAATGAATCTCAAGTTCAGGTTGTGGTTTATATAGATCATAGAAGTCAGATTCAGGAGGAATAGTTAAAAGAAGTTGTTGTTGAAAGTAGTTTTGAAAGTGTTATTAAGTGGCTTCTTTAATATCTTTATAAAGAGTCCTAAAGAAGAAGTCTGTTTAAGTTAGTATTGTTATTATATCTTTCAAGAATTTTCTTGAAAAATAGTTTGGAATTTTCAGTAAAGTTTAAGTTCCTTTCTTGAAGTTTGTTTGAGATTTCCTGTTGTATTTGTTTTCTATTTTCTTGATCTATTAGTGTTTTTAAATTTTTGGTTTCAGTTTTGAGAAGACTACAGAGAGATGATAGTTGAGAAATAGGTAGAATATTAGGTGTTAATAGTGTATTGTTTTGAAATTTTTAGTAGTATTCATGAAGCCAATTAGGAAGGTTAGGTAATTTAAGTAATTTTTTGATTTTAACAAGTGCTTTGTATTAAAGAAGGTAGATGTACATTTGATTTTTTGGGTAGATTGTTTTCTCTTGTTAGGATTTATTTTTTTGTATGGAATATATTTGTTAGTTGCTTTTATAAAGGATTTGTTAATAATTTTCCAAATTTCATCCAAGTCTTGTTGATTTTGGATTTGTGTAATTTTGACTTATGATTTTTTTAAGATTTTCATCTAGATGGTTTTTATATTTTTCTATTTGTTCAGTTGTTGTATGCTTCTAAAGGGTTATTTTCCTCTTGGGTTGTTTGTGAAGTGGTATCGAAGCAGCAGATAAAGTAATTTCTAAGAGAGTGATATTGTGGTCTGAATCTGTAGAAGTTGTATCTAAGATATCTGCATAGTCTAAGGTGGTTATGTGAAAGTTTGTCCAAATTTGGTCTATTCTGCTTTGATAATCTTTGTGATAGCAAGTGAATTTTAGAAGGTCAGCATGAAAGATTCTAAAGGTATCGTAGAAATTTGTTTGAAGTATTTAATTAGTGAGGATTCTGAGGTTTGAGTTTTTTTAGGTAGTAGTCGATCAATTTTAGGATTAGTGTTGTATTAAAATCTCCCATGATAATAATTTTATAGTTGGTTTTTTGAATAAGAAGGAGTGTTTGTTCATATATTTCTTTTTTTAAAGTTTGTTTTTCTTTGGTTGGAAAGTATAGTTGTATAAGTTGAATAGGATAGTTTGGTAAAGATAAATCTATAGAGAGGATATAACCTTTGTATTTTTGTATTTTGCTAATGAATCTAGAGAGATTTTCATATATTAGGAGACCAACTCCACCCTGTCTGATGTTGTTAGCTTCACTCCAGAGGTTAGTATAATTTGAAAGGTTTTGAGTTAGTGAGAGTAATTTAGCATCTTTAATACTTAAGTGAGTTTCAGAAAGACCAAAAATGTTTATTTGGTTCTTAGTAATGAAGTTGTAAAGTAAGGTTTGTTTGGAATAAGACAGTCTATTTGTATTAAGGGAGCAGATTTTAATTTGTTCAAGTGTAAAGAAAGGTTAGTTTGGGAAGCTTTGAGTTGTGTTAGATATATTTAAGGGTTGTTTTGTATAGTAGTTTTCAGATAAAGTAAGTGGTGGTATAAGTGGAAGATCTGTTTCATTAGTTAGAAGAGAGTTATTTCTGGTATTTAGTGAGAGTAATGGAGAAGTTAAAAAAAGATCTGTTAGTATGTTGGGTGTAATGTAGCTATTAGATTTGAAAGTAATATTGTGATAATGCTTTAGGGCTTCTCTAGGTGAAATAAAGTGATCTGGTAGTGGTTTAGATTCAAAGAGTAGATATATATATGCTTCAGAATAGTCTTTTTTAATAGAGATAGTAAGAGTATAGATATGTGAGTTTTCTAGATTATATTCAAAGAGGCTAAGATAATTGAGAAATGAAATAATAGTTTGTAGTACAGGTAGTGTTGGCAAGTTATAGTATCTGAGAAATCTGTTAAAGCATAGGTGTGATGAATATGGGAGAGGTCTTGGATCTGAGTCAGTGGTATGTTCAGTATTATAGAGGTTGAGACGAACATCTTGTGCAAAGTAATAGTATAGATTGTAGGTCTAATCATCTTTAACTATATTAGGGATAGTTACTGATTTAAGAGAGTGAATATCTAATATAGTAGAGAGGGTGATAAAAGGAAGATATTTGTAGCTTTCAACTTGTGTTGTGAAATAACCACGTTGTCCAAAATTATGAACAGACCAGGGATAGACATAAGCAATGCTGTAGTCTTCTTTAATTAGTAAATTGAATGTACAGTTGTATATATTATTAAGGTTGTAGTTGAAGGATTCAAGATGTTTAATAAAAGAGTTGATAGTTTGTGGATATGGAAGTGTGGGAGTTGGAATTAGTGTTTGAAAAAGTCAGCATAGATCAGATTCAAATTTGTGTAGATCCATACCGTCGGATTAGGTTTGGCCCCTGAAATGTCAGATTAGGCCTGGATTGAGTAGGATTGGGCCTAATTTTAGGTTATATCTTTATATAATCACTCTATATTGTAATATTAACAAATTTTTATTAACATTTTTCTTATAATTTTCCTTAAATTTTATTATATATTTTATATATTTTATTATTTTATTAGTTTATTTATATAGTTTATAACATATTTTATCTATTTTAGACATTTTTACAATAGTTTATTACATATTTTATTAGTACACTTTTTACAGAATTCCATTTAAAGCAATATTTGCTTTAATATTTAATTATTAGTTCATTTAACGTAACAGTGTACAAAGCAAGGATACACAAGTAACACAAAGCACATGAGGCATCCCAGGATGCCCCAGAACCTTCTAGAATAATGTATTAATAGTCATTTAATTGTATTACTAATTTTAGAAATAATAGCTTTATTAGTTAGTTTATAACATTATTTTATATCGTTATCGAAAGATATATAAATCCTGTCTTTTCCCCAAGGCAGAAGGACATCAATGTATACTCCCCAATTAATTCTTTGAATATTTACATCGCTTCTAGGTATATTTGACCCTTCTCTTTGCCTATTTTCTTGTATTAAAAGCCTTATTATTGTATAATAAGCTGTAATTCTATATTGAATATATAGTAGGTTTATAGTATTTTTATTGTGTTTTTATAGTAAAATTATTGTTTTTCTATTGATATTTTTAGTTATTTTATAGTTTTATTTTAGGCTTTTCTTTAGTTTTCCTTGTTTAAAACATTCCTTAACTACTCTTATCCCTTAGATTGTAGCAGAACGCAGGCAAATTTGCCTGCGTTTTTGCACTTTTTTAGCTCTGATTTATTTTTTTAAAAAACCAAAATATTTAA